CCATGTGCCTTGGTGTAGTCTTCTACACCAAGTTTGGAGTTTATTGAGCATTTTAGATCTGTAGGTTTATAATTTTCATTAAACTTCTAAGTACTTTGATATTATGTAAAAATTTTTTGTATATATTTTTTATTCCTAATCATTCCCGTGAGTATTGTTCTCTTAGCAGTTTGATTCTTTTGAGTATTGCTTTTAAACTTTTTGTGGTAGGACCAGAGAGCATTTACTCTAGGACTAATTTTTCTCACTATTGAGATCATCCTTTCTCAATACTTGACCAAATGTGTCATGAATTATGGCAGTTTGGTGGGAACGACACTGTTTTCAGCCATCTGTGAACTCCAGTGATCGTTTCCTCAAATGCTTTTAGATAATTCTTTCTTTGGCTTCAGGTAATTCCTCACACCCCTTTGCTGATGAGAACTCAGCTGGGGATTCAGTGATCTTCAGTGTTCTCTCACTGGGCATTCTCTTTTCTCTGATTCTCTCACTCCCTGTGTCCATGTGTCTCTGCCTTAGTTTGCCATCCCTGTACAGTATCCTATAAACTTGCCACAGGCTCTAAGCTGGGGGTAGTTGTGGAGTTCATTACATTTGTTCGATATTCTGAGAGATAACTTTCCTATTTCTGGTGTCCATTGTTTACACAAAGCTGTGAACACTTGTTGAGGATCATGGAGGACCACTCTGAAAGTTGGTCCACCACACACAAAAAATTGCCATTTAAGCAGCGTAGTATTAGCAAAGGTAGAGGAAGTAATAAGCTCATGCTGATTCTGCTGCCTAGAATTCTTTTTTATCCTCTCTAATTGGTAGCACCTTCTCAGTGTTCCAATGTAGTCCAGTTCCAATGTTAGCTCTATAAAGCTGTCATTAAACACACAGATAAAATTATAAGTTTCCTGCTTTGTGTATTAGGCTTATATATGACATCCCATTTTAAATCATATCATATTTACAGTCTGGTTATGTCTGTCAACTATCATAAGCCCACTGGTCACAGTGATTCTGAAAAAGTCTGTAAATTTTAGTGTTATCAAAGTCCTTGGCTCTAATTTTAGGTCTATCAATTCCTGGCTGGGAATTCAGCCAGTTATCTTCAAAACCCTGGATATCAGTTGCTTTATCTATAAAATAGAGATAAAAATATCTGCTTTGTAGGGTTATTATGATTTGTGTGAGGTGTCCATCAACTTGCCTGGCTTCTAATAGGGACTTTGTAAATCCTAGTTTCTCTTTTTGTTTATCTTTTGTCTTCAGCACTCATTTCAGTATAGAAAAATAGTAGGAATTATGATTATATATTGAATTGAATATCAAAGAATAATATACTCTCAAATAGGAACATTTAATTAGCTATATTATCTTCAGATTTAGTAATATTATTTGAACTTTAGTTGTTTTTTTCAAAGAAGCTAAGTAGCTGTTGCTGTTTAAATGTTCTAAAGATGCCCTTTTCTTCTAATCTATAATAAAATAAGAATATCTTGAAGGATAAATCAGATTGACTCCATAAAACCATATAATTATTCTATGTTACTTTATAGGAAAACTCTTTTTAATTACCTGCCTTAAATGTTTTTCTTACCCTAAACTGATTTACACATATATAAATTAGCATTATTCACCCTCTGGGTTTTGACACTTGGATTTTTAAGGAAAAGATCTTCATATCCATGTGCATCTCCGAAGTATTTATGTACTTGTAATTACTTTAAAAATCCTCTTTGCATGCATTTCATCTGTAAGTATTATTATAGTCATTCACTGTGAAGAATTTAGAGGTCCTTATGCTATTCTCTACAAAATGAATGTCTCATAATTCCAGTACTCTGTCTTATATGACCAAGTGTTCATTTAGCTCTGTTCAGAGAGCATTAAAAAATCATAGGAGAGAACTGCTAAATTTTTAAATAGTATTTAGTAAATAATGACAAACGTTGATATCAACGTATTATAAAATCTTTATGTCTAACAACAATAATATTAAACAACTAATATTAAAAATTTTGGTAGCCAAATAACATTTCAGAAGATGGATCTATTGCATTGATAATTAGCATGTTATTTGAATTGCAGAGAAACTCTTCAATTTAATGAGTACAATCCTTTTTTTACTTAAGTGTCCTATAAAACCCTAAAGGTTTTCAAGCCAAATAATTTCTGTTTAGAATTCTGTTTAGAAAATACTTCTCAGAGTATAAAGTTTTAAATTATGTATCTTTGCCAAGGCAGAGTTTTAAAAAGTTAACCCTTTAAAAAATTAAGTCTCTAATAAATAAAAGCATTATTATTCTACTTTAACTTTGCTGATGAGTGAAAATCTTTTAATCAAGAACATTATGAGTAAGCCTTTATCTGTCTCATTGTCATTAACATTTTAAAAGGTGCATTTAAATTGTTAAACTACATCAGAGGGCCTTATATGTCATAAAAAGATGTTATTCTACAAACCAAACAATTACCTTAACCAAAACTTTCATTATTGTAATATCTTAGTTTTAATTCTATAGCATTGTATTTTGATGTTCAATAATGTTGTGTATACTTTTTCTAATACAAATTTAAAAAGGCTTATTGAGATATACTTGATACACTACAAATAGCACAAATTTAAAAGATACAATTTTAAAAATAGTGCCATACCTCCACATCTGTGAAACTGTCACCATAATCATGTAGTGAACTTTTCCATCACCCTCAAAAGTTTCCTTGCCCCCTTTTCATCTCTGTCAACCTTGTCCTCCCCCTCTCAGGCAACCACTAATTTTCTTTCTGTTACTATTGATTAGTTTGCTTTTTCTAGAGTTTTATATAAATGGAAGCACACAATATGTACTCAATTTTTTGGTCTGGCTTCTTTTACTCTGTTATTGTTTTGAGGTTCATCTATTTTGCTGTGTGTATACTTTATCTTTTTTATTGCTAAGTAGTATTCCATCATACAGATATCCCACAATTTGTTTATCTTGTCGCTAATGATAGGCATTTGGAGTGCTTCCAGTTTTTAGCTATTATTAAAAACTGAAGTTTTTAGATATTATGAGTAAATCTGCCATAAACATTGGGTATATTTTAAAAATTATCTTATTTTAAAATTTTTACCACTTTTTGACAATCATGGTTGTTAACTCTTCACATACAGCAATACTTTTATGTACCTTTCCCAGAAACTCTTAGTAGGTAAGGAAGACTATGAATATACTTAACTTTAAACCTGTTTCCTACATTTTGCCCATTTTACTCATTAGAATTATTGACTATAAGGAAAGAAAGTATCTTATTTTGAATTTTGAAATCTTAACAGCCTGACCAACCTTATTTATCTTTTATAGTATCCCTAAATGAAATATTAAATGAAACTGAATTGAAGCTTCTAGTCGTTAATTAACCAAAGAGCTTATGCAAATACTTTCTTCACTATAATGATATTATGATGAACATTTTTCTAAAGAGAATAAATATTTCTTAATGATATTTTATTTCCATTAGTAAATGTGGCAGTTGAAATCTATCATATTTAACACATTTTCTCCAAATAAGGAAATATAGAAAAGATCCCATAAGTCCATACTAAAAAGAATACGATACAATTTAATTTAACTTGTATTTATTATTATTGAGAACACTTTTTGCTGTTCCTCTGTGTGTGTGTGTGTGTGTGTGTGTGTGTGTGTGTGTGTGTAGTGCTGGGGTTGGAGCCAAGGACCTCTAGCATGCTAGGCAAGAGTTCTACCACTGTCCTATATCCCCAGCCCTGCTATATCTATTTTTATATTTTTTTCAAAGATCTAATAACTTTGTAGATTGGCTTATGCAATAAAATTTCAAACTTTTAAACATTTTTTTCTAAGAAGTGTTCCTTTTTAAAGAATAATATGTGGGCTGGGGCTGTAGCTTAGTGGCAAGAGCTTTTGCCTAACACATGTAGCACGTATGAGGCCCTGGGTTCGATCCTTAGCACTGCATAAAAATAAACAAATAAAATAAACGCATGCTGTCCATCTACATCTACAAAAACAAACTTAAAAAGGAATAATGCAGTGCTTAAAATTTGTTTCCCCTTTTTAGTTGTTTATTCATGACAAGTATGTTTGTACGTGTAAACAAATATACATTTTACACATACATTTATTGAAAAGCATCTTTCTAAACCAGTAAATACTACCTATTTATGATATAATTGTTTACAGTTTATTGAGAATAGAAATTAGAGTTTTAATTTTTAGACAGTTTCATTTAAAGTGACATATCTTTACCTTGATGACAAATATGTAACCTTGATACAAATACAGGAGGAATTCTATTGATGTGTTTTCTAAAAGGGCTCATCTTAGTAAACAAATTTTAATTCTTTACTGAAAATTTATATTATAGACTGAGAAAATAAGACTATGATTCTTTTCCCAGTAGAATTCTATGTATTCCAGTTTTAGATACTTTTAAGTATATCACTTTCTTATATTAGGCTATTAAGTTAGGATTTTGGAAGGGATCGCTTCCAAATTCTTTTATTATATCTTATTACTGCTTAAAGCTAAGTTTTGGTGATGGGGGTGGGAGAATTACTGGGTATTGAACCAAGAGCTATGTCAATTATGCTAGACAAGTGCTCTACCACTGAGCTACATCACCAACCCTTTTTAAAACTTAATTTTGAGACAGGATCTTGATAAATTGCCCAGAATGGCCTCGAATTTGTGATCCTCCTGCCTCAACCTTCTAGAAGCTGGGATTATAGGCATATGCAACTATGCCCTTTGTGTTTAAAACTAATTTGATTGAATGCCTTTTCATCTTTCTGTGACTGTTTTTTCTTTTATCAAAATTATAGCGAATTTTGTGTTATATTTTAATAGAAATCACCTTTTAAAAAAATTTTGCTCCTTTATCTTTTTGAAAATTTATTTTAAATCAGTGGAGAGTTTATTTGCCAGACTGAACAAACTAACATTATGATTTGAACTAAGTAAAAAGTTAATATCATTTGTTTCTTTCAGACCTCTATAAAAATGGACTCCAAAGGGCTAACTTTGTACCATTCATAGCTGTCCTGAAGGTAAGGAAAATAACTTGCTTGTGTACACTGAGATCATATTGATCGATAGAAGGTCTTCTACAGGACTGCCTTGGTCTTGCATTCAAGCAGAATTCATTTTGGTATTTAAATAGTGATAGTAAAAGACACCAAAGAAGAAAATGAATTTTTTTATACAGTATTCACCCATATGTACATGGAGAAATTGCAAAATATAGTCTAAAGTATTCTATAACTGAAACATTTGATGGTTTGCATTTTGTGGATTTTAATTTGAGGTTTGCTCATAAATATTTTAGTGGAATATTTAATCTTATACATTTATTTCTGAAAAAATATTTAATGTTCCCTGTTTCCTTCAGGTTAATGGCCATTATTAACATGTTTTCCCAGCTATTAAAGTTGCTATTCTAGAATAGCATTATTACAAAAATATTCTAATATATTTAAATGTGATTGCCATCAAGTTATCATGAAATTATGTCAAGTTGAGGCACATAAATAGTTTAAATATTTGTGTGTATCATCACTGCAAAGAGTTTAAAATAGTCTTCATTACAATATGATTAAGAATAAAATAGCTTCCATTTTTACTGTTAATTTTAAGTAATTTTTACATGTTTGTTCAATAATTCCATAGTCAACCAAAGTTTATTAAAAACCTACTATGTGCAAAGTGCCACAATAGGCATAATATAATTAGAAAATAGGCTGGTTTTTTTGCTTTTAAGTCATTTAATCTAGGGGAGGATATAAAATGTACCACATACAGAAAGTGAAGTATGTAGTACCAAAAAGAAGTACGGGGCTGGGGTTGTAGCTCAGTGGTATAGCGTTTGCCTAGCATGTATGAGGCACTGGGTTCAATCCTCAGCACTACATAAAAATAAATAAATAAAATAAAGGTATTGTCCATCCATAATTAAAAAATATTTTAAAAAGAAGTACAGGTATGTGCCAAGACATGATTCCCTTAATTTCAGGTACATAATTTTTCCCAGTCCATAGTCAAAGTATCTGAGGAAATAATAAAGTCATATGTAAACAAAAACTAAAACCCCCAAAATTCTACCAAGAAAGGAAAGTTAAAATATTTATCTTCATATACTCTAAGGACAGGGACAATATTTTTGATATATATATGTCCATTAGTTGAAATTAGTGTTGATGCCAAACTTTATTTTCTATGCTATACTTAGGAGAATTTAAACATTTGTTCCGTTGACCAACTTTAGCTTTCTAAGGATTCTAATTTCTCCAAGATATTTATAGATGTAGGTAAAGTACTTTTGGAAGATTTATGCTATTAGTAATTTTTCCTCTGGTATTCATGTTTTGCATATAGAGAGAAGGTAGATTTGAATTGTTTTATCCATAGTAGGAATCCAAAGTAATATGGTATATATAGATATCAAGATATAAACCTGGAAACTAAGAAAAATAAGCATTATAGACAGTATCTTTGTATAACATAAAATGTACAAAATATAAAAAGAGAAGGCACACGGAACAAAACAAATCAAGATGTTCTCAGGGAACTTTTTGGCTATAATTTTTTTTTTTTTTTTTTTTGCCTTAAACCTTCTCCCTACCCAGCATTTTGGCTAGTCATTTGTCAAACTTCAGTATATAATAGCACTATCAAAGGGAACTAAATTGGACAGACTAAACTTAATTTTCTTTTCCTTTCCCAACCTAATATTTTTAAGAGGAAGGAAAATCAGAAATGAATAATCCATAATTTGAAATTGAACATGAACCAAGATGAATAATATACAATTTGAAATTGAACATGAACTGAAATTTCCAGGTATTGAAATTCCAGATTGGATTAAAAAAGATTTGAAATGTCTAATTTACTCAGAAGACTTCTTATGTATAAGAAAACATCATCGGATCAATGAAATGAAAATGAGCTCACTTCTCTGGAGCTTTTCTGTTTCGCCTCATGACATTTCCTTTGTAAGAAAATGTTGTTTCACATTAATTTAAATAACATTTTGCCTGTTCACAGATAATAGCGTTACACCTTCATTTTGACCCAACTAAGAAATGCACAGAAGTCAGTCTTAAATGAGGATCTTAGTTTAATAAAAGAGATTATAAACAAGGTTGAAATATATTTTTGGAAAAAATATATTGTAACATCAATTTTTCCACTAAGTTCTCTATAAACCAAATGAGAACATGTTTATAATCTACCACAGAAGCTTGTGATTTATTGCTTGGGGTAATCAAAAATAATAACGTACATAAGCTCTTAGTGAATAATGATATTTTCATAAGATAGTAAGAATGCTGAGGAGGAGGAGTACACTGTTAAAAGCCATAGATAATAATAAAATAGATAAATAAATGAATAGATAAATAAATAAAATGTGATGTATCTATCTGCCATAAAAATGATACTTGCTATGTGAATGAACTTTGAAAGAATTAAGAAAAATAAGTCAGACACAAAAGGACAAATATGTGATCCATTTATATAAGGCCATAGAAAAGATAGACTTATAAAAGACAGAAAGTAGAATAGTGGTAACCACAGGTTGGGAGAAATAAGGACTGGGTAGTTACTGTTTAATGGAGATTCTGATCAGGATGGTGAGAAAGTTCTAGAATAGTGGTGCAGATTATACAACACCATGGATGTACTTAATGTCAATGGATTGAACATAAGATAGTTTAGATGATAAATTTTATATTATGAATATTTTCTCAAATAATAGGTTTCATTGAAAAAATAAGTTTTACAATTTTATGACAAATTAAGAAAATATCCCCAAGTTTCCATTGAGAATCACTCATACTAAAAACTTGGAGGATCTCAAACTGAATGTAAAAAAGACAATTTATGACAACATCAATCAATGATGACAAAGATGTTAGCATTATCTAATAAAGATTTTAAAGCAGTCATGATAAAAATGCCTGAACAGGCAGTTATGAATACACCTGAAAGAAAGAAATATTACTCCTTAATGATTTTAAAAAATTCCATTCACAAGCGATATTTTTCATTTCAATGCTGCAGGGAACTTATAATATAGCCTTCAAATATGTAAGGCAAATGACAAAATTATAAGAGAAAAAAATTTACACTTATATTGAAAAATGCTTTCCACAAGTCTCTCAGTGATTAGTGGTGAACAATATGTGACAATAAATACTTGAACGGCATAATTAACAAATCTAACCTGATAGAGAGAGATGGATAGACAGATCCATTATGATACACAACAACTGGAGAATACTATTTTGAAGAATACAGAGAATGTTTACAAAATTGTCCACATGTTGGGCCATAAAGCAAGTTTCAACAAATTGAAAGACTGAATTCACATAGAGCATATTCCTTGGACATTGTGCAATCAAGCATTTATTAAGAATGTAATAATAAAAGGATAAGTAGAAAATTCTTGTTGTGTTTAGAAATATATATTTTTACATAGTTTATCAGCTAAAGAAATCACAAAGGAAATTAGAAAATACTGTCTTCAAGGTTTTTTTTATGTTGTAGCATGTGTTAGAATTCCATTCTTTTTTTTTTTTTTTAGGTTTTCATTATTTAATGAAATGTCTTTTTTTTAAATTTTTTATTGTTGGTTGTTCAAAACATTACAAATTTCTTTTTTTTAATTTTTTTAAATTTTTTTATTTATTTATTCATATGTCATGTCTTTTATTTATTTATTTTTTTTAAATTTTTTATTGTGGGTTGTTCAAAACATTACAAATTTCTTGACATATCATATTCCACACTTTGATTCAAGTGGGTTATGAACTCCCACCTTCACCCCATACACAGATTGCAGAATCACATCAGTTACACATCCATTGATTTACATATTGCCATACTAGTGTCTGTTGTGCTCCGCTGCCTTTCCCATCCTCCACCCTCCCCCCTCCCCACCTCTCCCCTCCCCTCCCCTCCTTTCTCTCTACCCCCTCCACTGTATAACCCTGAGGGTCTCCTTCTATTTCCATGCAATTTCCCTTCTCTCTCCCTTTCCCTCCCACCTCTCATCCCTGTTAAATGTTAATCTTCTTCTCCTGCTCTTCGTCCCTACTCTGATCTTAGTTACTCTCCTTATATCAAAGAAGACATTTGGCATTTGTTTTTTAGGGATTGGCTAGCTTCACTTAGCATAATCTGCTCTAATGCCATCCATTTCCCTGTAAATTCTATGATTTTGTCATTTTTTAATGCAGAGTAATACTCCATTGTGTATAAATGCCACATTTTTTTAATCCATTCGTCTATTGAAGGGCATCTAGGTTGGTTCCACAGTCTTGCTATTGTGAATTGTGCTGCTGTGAACATCGATGTAGCAGTGTCCCTGTAGCATGCTCTTTTTAGGTCTTTAGAGAATAGACCGAGAAGGGGAATAGCTGGGTCAAATGGTGGCTCCATTCCCAGCTTTCCAAGAAATCTCCATACTGCTTTCCAAATTGGCTGCACCAATCTGCAGTCCCACCAGCAATGTACAAGTGTACCCTTTTCCCCATATCCTCGCCAGCACTTGTTGTTGTTTGACTTCCTAATGGCTGCCAATCTTACTGGAGTGAGATGGTATCTTAGGGTGGTTTTGATTTGCATTTCTCTGACAGCTAGAGATGGTGAGCATTTTTTCATGTACTTGTTGATTGACTGTATGTCCTCCTCTGAGAAGTGTCTGTTCAGGTCCTTGGCCCATTTGTTGATTGGGTTGTTTGTTATCTTATTGTCTAATTTTTTGAGTTCTTTGTATACTCTGGATATTAGGGCTCTATCTGAAGTGTGAGGAGTAAAGATTTGTTCCCAGGATGTAGGCTCCCTATTTACCTCTCTTATTGTTTCTTTTGCTGAGAAAAAACTTTTTAGTTTGAGTAAGTCTCATTTGTTGATTCTAGTTATTAACTCTTGTGCTATGGGTGTCCTATTGAGGAATTTGGAGCCTGACCCCACAGTATGTAGATCGTAGCCAACTTTTTCTTCTATCAGACGGCGTGTCTCTGATTTGATATCAAGCTCCTTGATCCAT